TCTTTCCTAATTTTTTTTTTTTTTTTGTCTTTCTTTAGACAGGGTTTCGCTCTGCAGTTCAGGCTGGCCTTGACCTCACTTTGTAGCCCAGGGTGGTCTCGGGCTCGCAACAGTCCTCCTGCCTCAGCCTCCCGAGTGCTGGGATTACAGGCGTGCGCCACCACGCCCAGCTCTGTTTAAGGGTGGCAAAACTTAAAAGACATTATCCTCCAAAACTGGGCCAATTGTTTCTACTTTTATGAATTCCTTTGCCCCAAAATATATTCTTTTAAAAAGGATCTTTTTACTTTTTTATCTTCTTTTTTTCAGGAGTACACGTTTGCTTTACACAATGATCACATTCATCTTGGGGAACTTGTCCCTGTACATATTTTAATATCAAATTCCAGCTGGCCCCCATTCTCCTCTCTTTTAAAAAATAAAAATTCCTTAACATAGCCTCAAGAGTTATTTTTACGGCCTTGAAATGTTTGTATGGGCTCTGTAGGGGAAATGATGCTGCCCTATTATGTTATAAAGTGGGATCTCAACCAGGGAGCCTATGAACCACCGCAATCGTATGAACTTTGAAGTTTTGTATATGCCTTATGCATTCTACTGGGAAAGGGGTCCCTAGGATTCACCAGTCCCAAAGGGCCTGTGACTCCCAACAGGTTAAGAATCACTGCTAAAAAGAAATTGTGCCATTGACTACAAATTAGGATATTTGTAAAAACTTTCTTACACAAACCTAGCTTGCTTCTGATGCTATAAATACAAACACCACCGAACAGTTTTTGTGCTAGATGAGAAAGGAAAAGTGAACAAGTTTTCTAAACATTTAGCTTGGGGAAGCCACCAACAGAAACAGAGAAATGAACTGAAGGGATGGGTCTCAGGTGAAGAGATACTGCGTATGTTTTCCTCAGTGGTTTTTATGTTGGAAAATGAGTAACTTTATCATCTTCTTTGAAAAATGCAATGAGGTGACCATCCAGACCTTCTCACCGCCTTTGCGAGAATGAAGAATAACCTGCTCTGCTCTTTTCACTGGCATCTCCCCAGGACTCCTCACCCCAGGTTTTATTTTCAGTCCAGGTTAACAAGGTGCTAAGTACTTTAATGAGTTAATGCATCAAATTTTTTTACCTTGCTCAAGAAATTGGAATTGGCTTGTTTTTTGATTTGTAAAAAAAGAGAGGAAGAGAAGTAGAGAAAATGGGGGCAGTATTTCACGCAGGTTACGGGAGGAAAAAAGTTGCTGCGAGGTCCTATTAACCTAAATGACCCCTTCCCTCATCTAATAAAGGCCTAAATTGTCAGTACCATCTGAGCTTTTCTAATTAGCACTCCTACTGCCTGTAATATAAATAGGAAAACATGGAGAGCAAAGGCTGCTAGCTTAATATATAAAGCAAGTAAGAGGGAAAGCATCTGTGTCGAGGTAAACAAAAGTGGAAACCGCTCATTTGCCAGTAAAGTACGAATCAATGCCTGTCATTATTTCTGTAGAGCATTCATTCTATCAGTAATAATCAATCCTTAACCAATATATTGACAAAGCCACACAATGTTATATATTTAGAAGATGTATTATTTCAACCATATTTTGAAATAATAATATATAATTTAAAACAATATAAACCAATACATGGCACAGTACTCAAAGAAATAAGGATTAGACTTCTATATTTTAAACTGTGAAGAAAATTTCTTAATGCCTAAAAGAAAAACTAAAGACTTACTACTTAATTAAAAATGTCATCTCATGAGCAGTATCTGTAAGCAACAGTACATTTAATTCTTTAAGGTCCCTTCAAGAAAAATCTCAAATGAAAACCATTTATACATAGAAATATTTACATGTCTTTTCTAATACCAAATTCTAACACAGTAAGGTAAAAAAAAAATGACTAAATTTGAGCTAAAAGTGTATACCATGAACTTAAAAAAAGTGATACCAAATTTCATTGGGCCTTTCAGAGACCACATGTTGAATTTCCAGATGAATTTGTCCAGTAAAGGTCAGTAGTGAAATTATTTTATTTTATTTTATTTTATTTATTTATTTATTTAGCTTTTCTTCCGGTACCAGGAATTGAACTCATGACCTTGTGCTTGCCAGGGAGGCTCTTTGCCACTGAGCTAAATCCCCAGCCCCATGAAATTATTTTAAAATACTCAAACATGTGATAATTATCTGATTATAATTTGATATTAACATTGCCACTGTGCTATAAAGAACAAAGTTTTACTTAAATGAGATGGATTTAGGTAATTAAAATAAATTTAATTTGATGATAATTTAAACACCTAAACTCAAACCCAATCTGTACCCCAGGGTAAGATTTGTAAGAAATTCATTATTTATTTTTCTGATTTGCTGCTGCCAGCATGAAATATGAAGGCCATTCCTTCTATTCAGGTGTACTGATAAACCTTGCATTATCACTCCAATTTTTTCCTTATACTAAATTAAATTTTTTTTGAATGAGACTTTTAACTTTGAGGAGAAAAAAAACAGAAGAGAAAGATTTTCAGATGAATAAAAGAAGTACAAATGAGCTCTTTTAAGCAAGACTGCGCCTGGCAATCTCGGCTACATATTATTTTACTGTTTCGGTGGGCGACTCAGCTGTAATTCGAGCTCTGCTCACCTGTCAACTCCTAGAGGACCAGGACCTGCTTCACCCGTTCATCTTCCCAAGGTACTTACTACCCTGAGCAGTGTTTTGTAGGCTAATACCTAAAACTCGAAAAACTGAGTTATTAGCTAGATTAATATATGGTCAAATACGCTCATTATAAGCACTACCGTAATTAACTATTTGAATTACATAACTGATTTTCTTTTTTAATCAAAATTTCTTAATGTTATGAGATTAGTATAAAAACTAAGTGGTGGAGCATTGCATAATACTCTAGAAGCAAATTAGTGTATTATAACCAAAACTATGTGTGACGGTAGTTCTAAAACTGAGTAAATAAATACCACTTTGGTATTTTAGTTAATGCCAATACTGAGAACTGCTTCTGTTATCTGTAAAAGCATATTATAGAAGAAAGTGGAAATTAGGAGATCAAAGCTCATTAAAACAATGAGAAGGATGTGACACTGTAAATGTTAAAATACTAGTGTGTGCTATATAAAACTGAATTGCTTATTAACGGCAGCAAATTGGATTCCTAATGAGACATATAAAAGAACGTGTATGTGGAGTACTATATAATCATCACACAAGAACTTTTTCCCTCGAGAAGGAAAATAATAGAATACATCAAAAAGTTTTGAGGCAACGCCCTGAGATACTAATTTGCATAAAAATAGGGTGAGGATTAAGAATTTAAGAGGTACAAAACTCAAGGGCACAGCTGAGGTACAAAAAAGCCTTTCAAAAGTAGGGTTTATTTTCCACCAGGACTGCTGCCCCCACAAACCAGGCACACGCACAGTCTGCTGTTACAATGTACACTTCCTTTTTATATTGTTATAATAAAAAATATACCTAGTATGGCAGTGCTGACTCATTTGGGAAGGACTCAGTCTTGTTAGGTCACAGTTTTTTCTCACTTCCATTCTTAATTTCAGTACTAATAATTTTTAACAGTAATGTTTTAATTTCCTCTTTTTGCTTAAAGATTCTCAAAAAAAGTTCTAAATAATGCTGTTAATGTTTTGAAATATAGCTTTCCATCACATATTTTACTTATGATTATGTTTTGCATCCCAAAAGCTACCACAATCCAGCTCAAGGTTTTTGCAATTTCTGGAACTAAATGAAAAAGTGAAGGAACCAGCTTGCTGTGACACAGACAGCTTCCAGTACAGTACTAGCACATCCGGTAATCAATCTATACTAGAAGCACTAGTATTCGTTAAATGCGTATTTAGATGCTTGTAAAGCTGTAACTTAGAACATTATTATAGTTCGCACTCTACCACAGATTTAAGACATTAAGCATTTATTGTAAATTAAGTATGGAATTGGTTGTGTAACTCCAACTGTTAAGAATTTCTAAATATAAATAGTACTTCAGTTTTTCTTCATGCTAAATTAAGATATAAATTAAATACAATAAGTTACATTTAATCACCTCACAAATAAGAGGGATAATGAAGAGTTCGCTAGTATGTAACTACTTAAATCCAAGACATTTCACATTAGTTCTCCTACAGTTCCCCTAACTTCACATTAGCTTTAAGGCTATATATACAAATATGTATATTTCTTAGTTAGGAAGAAAACAAATGCAACAAAATGGATTATACTAGCTTTCATACAAGTTTTGATTTTGTATCTAATGTTGTATTTTAATGGTACATTTTAGTAGTTTTCTAGTGGGAAATCAGTCTATTAACTGATTTAATTACACAGTGATAAATACAACAGTCAACCTAAAGAGACAAAAACACAAAAGCACACAGAACAGTAGTCTTTTCAGTGTGACAGGTTGTAAAACTTACTTTCACATGCTTCATCAGAGGAATTTAAGCCTAAATTAAATTAGGTATTTTTATATCTACAATTCCTTAAGTTTTGAAATTTATTTTTAAAGGCCAACAGCTAAATAGTATCAACATGCTATGTTTCAAATCACAAATACATCTTAACCACTTGGATTATAAAGACATGGGCCAATTAAAAGTCACAGACAGACACACACACCCACACACACACCCCCCCCACACTCACAAACACACACACATACCCACCATAGAGTTAGACTGTCATACTTTGACAATTATTGTAATTAAACAGTAGGCAAATTCAAGCTGATGCACATCTTTATGAAAAGTAAGCAGCCTGAAAGAAATCTATTTTAAAAAAACAAACAGATTCAAGAACAACAGAGACTTAAATCTTTGAGTCTAATGGGAAGGAAACAGTTCTATTCATGCCTTCAGAAACAGTACTGTCCAATTAAGAAGAGACTGACATCTTTCCCTGCGAGAAAATTCTCATTTGCAATGGCATGGTGTTTTAAAAGTCCGGGGTAAAAGAGGAATTACACATACATAATTAAATTTCTTGTTTGTTAAATCAAGCTTTATTGATAAAATGGAATTCAGAGTATCTTACTAGGAACAGCAGCAGGCCCAGCCAATCATGATAGCAAAAATGTGGCAGTCTCCTACTTTCTATAGGAAGCTGCTGCTTATCAATTAGTAATTAAATGTAAGGACTTGTAAAAGAGGTGCAAAGAATCAGGCATTTTAGCCCCAAGATCGCTCTTCATATGAATATACTGTATTACCTGCAATACTCGTGGCAACACGGAGACAACATCCTGAAAGACAGTGAAGTGAAGTGAAGCGAACGGCTGTACCAACCATGCCAATCCTCTGCCAAGAACATGAAGGCAGCTTTCCACAACTCCTCGAATGTTCAGCTTTGTAAGGTTGTGAGATTATTCTCCGCCATTACATGCGTGTTTGAGCATCTAGCTGACGTGGCTGCTGCTCTCCCTGTCCCAACCCCAAGTCCAAACACAACATGACTTGAAAGGACTATATATCTGTTGCATCACACAAGCCAAATATTTCTTGTATCTTTGATAGTGATTTTAAAGCAGTTCATAATTAAATATGAGCATTTTGTACAAGGACAATTACACTTTACAAAAAAAAAAATCATACAACAAAAATTGCTGGAGTCTGATTTACAACATGAATTATGGTTTGAAATCATGTTTATATTGAGTCTCAAATTTACAAAAAAAAAAAATCAGTTCTGGGCTAGCTGTTGTACTGCTGAAGTTCTCTGGTGTAATCACTCTCACCCAAGTCATATCTCCCCTTCCTGAAAGTTGAGGGTGGATGTTAAAAGGTTCAACAAAGTTGAGCTGTACTCTCCTTTGGAGGTGAAGGTAAACTCCATGGCTAGATGAGCAGTTTTACCACATATCATCAGTTGACGTAGAGTCCTTTATAAAAGGGAACAAACAAAACAATGAACTAAATTGGAGCTTGAAGATGCTGAAATATGCTACTTTCTGGATCATGCAAAGATGAAGCTTGCAGATATCAAATATCAGTATTTGTCAAAATTATTATTAACCACTTTTTCTTGAAAATCATTTGGAATGATTTTACTGTGAGGTTGACTACATGTAAATGTATCACTAAATTCACAAAGTTACTAAAACCTTTGCTTTGATGAAATCCAACCTGTTTTGGGGACACTATTTCTATAAAATTAATGCATGTGAAATTATGACCTTAAAGGGATTTCAAGCTTCATAATCCAATATATAAAGTACTTCAGAGCTGTAATCAAATGATTTTAAGTTATCACTTCTCTATGAACATCACACTGTAACAGAATTCCAAGAGAAAATTAATCGGCAAATATGGCATTCTAATGTTTATTTATTTTTTATTTATTTGTTTTGTTTAAGGAGACAGGATTTCCACATGTAGTTCAGGCTGGCCTTGAACTCACTATGTTGCCCAGGCTGGTCTTGAACTTGCATTAATCCTCCTCTCTCAGCCTCCCGAGTGCTGGGATTACAGATGTGTGCCATCACACTTGGCTGCTAATGTTTAATTATAGAAATAGAATTCTCTAATATTTAAATGAAGTATATAGTTCAGGATTCTTAATAAAGGTATTTCCAGCAATAAAAACTTATTATTGAAGATGACTATTCAGAAGTTCTGTTGTAGCTCCTTAAAAAACTCAGAATAATTTAAGACTGTGAATACAGGTATTATTCCCCACTGTAAAAAAAGTTTTGGTGGGCGCAAACCTTCTGAAGCTGATTGTAGAAACTTAAAAAATCCAGAATAATTCAATGGGACTTTCTTCTTTTTTGAGAGGTGGCCACTCACCACGTTATGTCCTCAAATCACTAGAGCTATGGTGCTGGCAGAGACCAGAGCAAGCAGAGTTTCAGAACAATCAAGCAGGGGTGTGTGTGAGAACGGGCGCAGTGAACAGCTCCGCAAGCACAGGTAGGAAGGGCATACATTTAGGGAGGTGGGGAAGGGAAAGCAGAAGGAGCTAAAATGCTACTTACAGTGTCATCATTTTTGTAAGGGTTCAGCCTATTGTAAACGGCTTCAATTACATTCCGCCTAAATTTGAAAAAATACAGAAAATTAATTCTTCAGTAAGTACGACATTACTTAATAACACACGGCCTGGTGTTCATTAAAGGTTTACAGATAATCTCACATTCGGAATCATTAGAATCATTAGAACCTATTTCTTGCTATTAACAATTGAGCCTCACTTTAAGGTACTTTTGCCCCAACATTTAATTTACTCAATTGTAGCACTCCACCAATGTAGTTCATCGAAGACTGAAAGTTCCAACTTAAGTAACAAAGTCACAACAGTCTACATGGTCCATCTGAGCCAGGTTAAGTGGTTATACATCACCAATAGCAAGGCCAATTCTAACGCACAATGCTAACTATGAGGAAGTGACTTTTACATCTGTTGTAATAAAATAATTCACATATACTTTACACTGTTTCTGCTTTAATGTCTCTTTTAAAAAACATTAAAGACTGAAATATTGAAATGTATTCATATGACAAGTCTAGGAATTAGCTTTTGAATAGAATTTTACTTAAAAATCTCTAGTGGTCTTTACACATATAGTCTCCTGACTTCCAGAATTAACTTGAAGGACCTTTACTGACAGTTATCGTATGACATATAGAAGAAGTTTCCAAAAAATAAAAGCTTCAAACAGAAATTTCTATAACCACGACTCAGGAAAAGGATTACAATGAATATGACTATATTTGTAACAGAGACTACGGTTGTAGTTAGAATCAAGGAACCAAATCAGAAACATATTTGCAGCCAGGCTTGGCAGCACACACCTGTAATCCCAGCACTTATAGGAGGCTGAGGCAGGAGGATCACAAGTTCATGCCCAGCCTGAGCAACTTAGTAGTAAGAACCTTTACCGAAACAAAAAGTAAACGAAGGCTGGGTATGTAACTCAGTGCAAAGGCCTGGGTTCAATCCTCAGTACTGTGTGTGTACATACACACAGATATATGCTATATATATGTACTATATATACTTATGATTTGTGGAGGTCAATTCTTTGGAGAGTTGAGGTAAAAGTATTTAAATCACTGAACTGTAAAACTGCTTGAATTCTCCAATTTACACTAATAAGTACAGACAGATTTACCACAAATTAGCCTACTCTATCTTCTAAGGTGGAGAGGGGGAAATGACCAAGAAATTCACCCTACTTTGTTCCCTCACACCAAAATACAAATCTAACCAACAATCAATAACCAGAATGCTGGGAATATTAGAGATGGAGAAATAGCCCAGATGCAGGAAAACAATCTCTGGCTGTTAAGCTATCCAGGGACGGACAAAGTCAAATTAGAATCCTACTGCCATAATAGACAAAATCAAATTAGACTCTGACTACTAATAGTAACCTTTGTAGTGCCATGCCATTTAGTTTAAAAAATTCTTTCACTATTTCATCTCATTTATTCTATGAGGAAATCAACTTCACCTGAAGCTTCTACTAAAGACAATGCTCAGTGTAATTACTTATACAATCATATTTTGGTATCTAAACAAGCACCATATATCCCAATACTAAAGAAATAAAAAACAAAAACCAGTGACACATTGCAGGTGAAGTATTTTGAAAACAGGTAACTATATCACTTTAAATATTAGGTAAATACATTTGGTCATTGGCCACCTAACATTTCAAATACTGACAGAAAGCCTTCACGTGCAGAACGTAACTTACTTGCTTGCCAATTCACCCCCTGGCGGGAGGCTGGGGATGTTCTCACTTGCTAATGTGCGCATCACATGGACTAAGTCTGGAACGCCTTCCCCCTGCTTCTTTATGATTTCTGGGAATCAGAAGTACTTTTTTTGTAAGTGTTATCCATATTTAATATTTTAAAAACTGAAACAAAGATAACTTAGGTGTTTAAAATGGCATTTACCACATCTGAGATTTCCTAAACTGTTATCATTTAAAAAAAAAAATGTGACTACTGAAAATTTACAAAGGGTTGCACAAAAAGACACAGAAGACTACAAGGGATGACAACAATCAAGATAAAAATGTGAAAAGAAAAAATAGCTCATGTTAAATTGACACGTTACATAATCAGGGACAAGCGTGTACAAATGAAGGTATCCTTAAGATGCCAACTAGTTACTTCTGAGGAGATCAACTCCTCTTTAAACTGGATACATGTTTCCTGTAAAATACATTGCACAGATTTAAAGTCGTAATTTTTTTAACATTTAGGATTTGGGGAAAAAAGCTTTAAGTACATGTGAACTTATTGATTATACACTAACCCAAATCATTTTACATGTACATTTATATTTGAAAAATGATATTTAAGTAGCACACCCAGATTAGATTATGTACTTGGATATTATTCTCAGCTCAATTTTTCTCTAAAACATCTTTAACAAAAAAAAAACATCTTTAACAATATATAGATAAATAATACCATTTTCTTTATTAATTATATGAACAAAGCCTTAAATTTCGTGATGAAAAGTTTAAAAAGCAGAAACATTTGATAAAGTCCTACAGTACCTCCAATTATGAAATGGACATAATGATATGACCTGCAGTGTTATCAAGAGATACACTGTGATTTACCTCACAGAATAGCAAACATGGCAAATAATGAACTTTACAAACTCTTAAAACTAGCACAAATCTTTGAAGTTATATCACACATACTCTACATTTAAATTTAAGCCAAAGGTATTTGTAAGTTATATTATTTGTTATGTTTAGTTTTATAATAAGAAATGTTATTTTCTCTGTTATCATTGGGGCAAGAAATTATCACTCTAGTTCTCAATTTGTAAATACCTTAGAAAATATCAATGCTTATTAAGATCCTTCATCTTTTGATCAAGCCTCAAGATACCAATTCATTATTAGAAGTACATATAAAAAGACAGACATTGCTACACATAAATTTATCTCTTTTTTTTTTGTGTGGCACTGGGGATTGAACCCAAGTACTTGCTCACATGAGGTAAATGTTCTACCACAGGCTATGTCCTCAGCCCTTTTTAAAATTTTAATTTGAGCCAGGGTCTTGCTAAGTTGCCAGGCTAGCCTCAAACTTGTGATCCTCCTGCCTCAGCCTTCCATGTAGCTGGGATTGCAAGAGTGTGCCATCACATTGGGCCTCATAAAATTTCTTAAAATGGCTCAAAGTGTCCTTTTAGAATAAAGGCCAAATTTTGCCATTGGTTATGTTTTCCTTTTAAAAACCAGTTTAATCTGAACAAAAAGCAAGGATCTCAGATTTGGTTTGCCAAGTTCCTTTATTGTATAATCTTTAACATCTAGTATATTTATTCTACATGGTTCTAATGCTGAAAATCTGCTATACAAAAATAAAGGGATTTGATATTTACCTAAACTACACAATTTCACAATCTAAAAGTGTAATACACTTAACATACAGTCTCTACTAAGCCAATACAATTATTTGAATAGGTAACTAGATACAATCAAAATGAACACTGATGATAAATTCAACCAATATGGTTTCAGGTCTAAAAATACATTACCTCGAATCATCTATACTTGATGCATTAAAATTTAAGTTATGATGTTTGAACTGTGAAGAAAATTACAGGAAAACCAATTCTTTTTAAAAAATAATGAAAGGTTTAAAGACAGCTATCTCCTATTCCATATGGGGCAATCCATTTAAACTACCTGAACATTAATATTACACTACCCTTGATTCTTTCACTGAAAAGAAAAAAATAAAATTTAAAAAGAAATATTTAGTTGCATTTGGACTATACATTTTATTTTGAATTGTAAAAAGACTGCTTTTATAAAGAATATATACGTGTAGAACTATCATATCAATGTTTCACAAAAGCTTATATAGAAACACATTGTGCTTCTGTGCCCTCCCCATCAAGTTTGAGGAATTCTACCAGTTAACTCCACATTAACAACTTTAAAGCTCGGGAAGTCCATAGCAGATATTTTAAAAATATATACAATGCATAATATGGTCTTAAGTTGGCTTAGAAGAACCACTAATTTAATGGTACTTAGATTGAACAACAAGCTGAATCTCTTCACACCCCAGTCAAGGACTGAGAGGGGCACAGAGAATACGAGAAAGGAGAGGCCAGAAAGCTTGGTCTTTTTGTACATTGTGGACAGAGAAACCCGAAATCTTGAAAGCAGATAAAATAAGGTTTAGTAGGTCATAGCGATTTAGTCAAGTCTTTTTTTTTTTTGTTTTTTTTTCCGGTACTGGGAATCGAACTAATGACCTCGCACTTGCCAGGCAGGCGCTGTGCCGCTGAGCTAAATCCCCAGCCCCTTAGTCAAGTCCTTAAAAGAAAGAAAAAAGGATTTGGTGCCTGTTTTGGAAATGAATGCAATTTTTTTCCCACTTAAGACATACAGTATGTTTTACAATAGTTACATTCTTTCTGTCTTTAAATAGCAGCAGTTTTAATTAATGTAATATTTACTCTCTAGCTGCAATCTCACCACATCGAAGTAAAGAACACCATATTTAATTAATGACGCATAATCTCCAACTGGATGGTACAAGTATAACTGGTCAACGTATCAAAAATATTGACTATTAATGTAAACTCTACCCAGGCAGCAACTACTTGCTTGAAAAATAATATAAAAATATTGTAACAAAAATATGTAAAATGAGTATTTCATAATTCCATCAAAAAATTAAGTGTGCACTCCTAAAGGTAAAAATATATTTCTAAAATCTGATTTCATATGATAGTAAAAGCACTAGCTATTATTTCTTTAAGCCAATAAGAAAACATATATGCTCAGGTTACTTTAAAGTGCCAAAACATTGAATACCAACTTATCTCATACACATTATTCTTAAGGCTTCACGTTTTTCTACTAATGGTTTAAACCAATGACTTTGTAACACTCTAACTTTTTAACTACATTATCTATAAGTAGCTTATATTGGAACAATTAAAAAATAAAAATTCCAAGACCCTTAAGTAGTGAAAAATATACACTGCTTAGTACGGCCAATGAATGACAATACTTAATAGTACAAACACATGCCAGACATATCACTATCAGGTGGTAGAGGGCAATAAAAACAAAATAGTCCTCAACAATACTAAATATCAAAACTAATCACGATTTTAATGTACCATTGATCAGGACTGATATCAAACAGGAAAAAGGTAGAAAACAAAATTAAGGTGCGTACTTTTTTTAATAATGCAGATACAGTGAAAGTTAGGTCAATGCTTGTATCCATTAAATGTCTTTAATGTGCACATTAATGACGTTAGGATCCCAGAGTGCATTTTTTAAAATACTTCCACAGCAAGTTTTTTGCTTAAAGGAACTGTAATCTATGTGCTTATTATACAAATGCAGTGAACGACATTCTCTGGGGAAACAATGTTTGTACCAAGAAATAGCTGCAAGAAAGAGCACTTAAATTTTTTGAAATATTTAAAGGTGGTAAAAGCACTTTTTGATTTATTTCAGAGTAATTTGTAGAAGTATGAGAAATATACTCTTAGATTCCTAATTCATTTCTTGATTTTATTCAGTAGTTACACTTCTGCTAGTACAGAACTACAGTATTATGTTTTCTGTTTACCTTGATTACCTTGATTAAGGGACAGTTTACCGCTTAGGCAAAAAGCTGCAAAACAGTTTAAATTTTAAAAGCTGTGGCATATGAAAATTGTTAATAACCAAGTTGTGACCTCCAAATTATCAAGGAAAAAAACCCTCTAGAACTTAAATGTACATACTTTAATAACATACATACCACAGCAAGATGGTGTAATTAAACCATAAATCAGCTTTTTCTAGCATAAAATTACTCATGTCAGTAAATTCATCAAGAACTTTTGATCCTTTTTAAAACAAAAATACCCTGAATGAGCAGGCTGCACCAGCTGTTATTTCTTATGTAACTATGATAGAACACCTGCACACACGTATCTCAATGGCCACTATAGAACGCCCTGTCCCACTTTTGTATGCTAAACACTACATGTTAAAGTCACATAAAGAACTAAAAGCTAAAATGTTTAAGTGTGATTCTGTTGAAGGTTTTTCTTTAATAAAGCTACTTATTTTTTGTTAAATGATCCACCTTCTACTCTGCATTCCAGGTACTTGTCCAACTCTGCCTCCTTCTTCACTGCTTCTGGAGATACTTTGGGTGCATTAGGAAAACAGATCAAAATCACACTCATGTTGTCTCGACTTCCCTGGGAAGAAAAAAGTTTGAGAAAATATTTTGGTCTCCTTTGTGCTTTTGAAAACCTTGAAAACATTTATAGCTATGCCAAATGCAGTTACACTTGTTCTAATAAAAATGTTACTTATGAGAAATATGTATGTTTATGGGTGTCAGTTGGCCTTAAACACTATACTGAACATATACTAATTAACAGTTCAGAAGATACGAGAGAACATTACAGTTAAATCCTTTTGTTATAATAACTTTAAAAAATTTTATAAAACGAAGTTATTTCTCAATATTTACTGGTGGCCTACTTAATTTGAAGTGGTACCTAAGAGTATACACATTTATAGCCCATGTAACATGGTAGAAAATACTAGTGGTATTCTTTACAATTAGGGTTTGTTGAGCAGTTAGATCTGACAAATTCACATTTAAAATAAATCATAAATTGTAACACATAAATATATAAAATTTATAGAAACAGGTATATTTACATAATAAACACAAATTATAAATTATAGGGCTAATACATTTGCTTCATGAAGTAAAAACAGAATTAGAAGTAAAACTTTATAAACTAGTTTTTAACTTCTTAAATTTAGTTTAGTAATACATTCATTTTTGAAGACATGTAAGCATTCAAAATCTGTAATTAAAACTCCTGGCTGATGTTGACCTTTCTCTACCCTCTTTCCTGTTAGTAACTGGGGTCAACTTTTACATTTTGAATGCTTAATTTGGATATATGGAAAAAGTGATCTTGTGTATGGAAAAAGTGATCTGGTATTTGGATATATGGAAAAAGTGATCTTGTATTTGAATATATGGAAAAAGTGATCTTAATCTGGATATATGGAAAAAGTTGATCTATGTAATTAAATGACAAACAATATAAGCAACTTAATGTTAAAAGGCAATCCTGTAGGGAAATTATACAAAATGTGACCAATGTTAAGATACTGGCTGTTTAGAGCAGTATAATGCAGAAGAGATAAAATAGAACTTGAGTCATAATTTATTTGAATCTGACAATTCAAGAAAAAAATTTAATTTAGCTGATAATTCTTAAGTTTTTACAATAATCCAAACAAACAGATGCTACTTTCACTCACTAAAAGTGAAACAGAATATATGTACTTCAAATCTTTGTTGTTTTCCCAAAATTTAGAAACTAACAGCATGCATTAGCAAGTCATTACTTGTGCCTGGTTTTGGTTTTGTTTTTTGAGACAGGGTCTGGCTATGTAGTTCAGACTGGCCTTGAACTCACAGCGATCCTCCTGCCTCAGTCTCCCAAGTGCTAGGATTACAGGCATATGCCACCATGCCTGGCTACTGTGTGCCTTTTTAAAACATGTGTTAGCTGTTACATAAACCTGATTTTTTTCTAAGTAATATCAGATGTTAATTAAGGTTTTAAATTGAGCTGGCCATGTGCATATAAGCTATTGTGTTGATTTTTATTTCTGCAAGGTAAAAGAAAATAAATATATACCCTCCGTTTTATAAAATCAGTATTTGTTTAAAAAAACTCAGAGTGAGTTAATGAACATTACTGACAAAATATAGCAGAATGTGGTAGAAAGAACAATGCATCTAAATCAAGGACCTGCATTTTCTAGTCTTAAATGCTGCTAAAGTTGTATAATCCTACCGCAGTCGGTTATAACTTTTCTAGAAAGGAGAGCAGCATGTATTGAGTATACATGACACATTCGACTAGGCTATACAGACATTAATATAAAATCTTAGTGGTCCTATTAATCTGCTACTATCTTTCTACTTTATAGCTGAGGGAGCTTAAGAATTTGTTCAAGATTGAAGAATAAAAAAAGTAGTAGAGGTAAGCCTTGATTCCAGGTCTGTTCCATAAAACCTTCTCCAGCTTCAGTTTCCTCATCTATAAAATAAAGGGGCTGAGCTAACTTATCCACATACATGATCTCCTTTGATCCTCCCAAAACCCCGAGACAGGGTGATACCTGTTTTTTCTTTTTTTTGCTTTTTGTTTGTTTTCCAGTACCGGAAATCGAACTCACGATCTCACGCTTGCCAGGTGGGTGCTCTGCCGCTAAGCTAAATCCTCAGCCCCGTTTTTTCTTATAGTTAAAGAAACTGGTCTTCCAGAGAGTTAAAACAGCTTACCTGAAGACATACAGTATCATACCAAGTTCTTCTGACTACATGTTCAAAGCTACTTCTATTACATTAATGAATAGTCACTAATGTCCCTTTGCTGGTGCTATAGTTTCATTAAACTGCAGTTGCAAAGTATGTCCATAACTGTACTGAGATATTATATGGCAAAACACTTAACATTATAAAATGCTTTTTACTTACTGATACTGAGACCTAACTTTTCCCACCCTCTTTTAGAACATGCACCCTAAAACAATCTTTTTACCTTTGTTAATCTTCTACATTACTAAAAAACTGAACTGGTCATGCTTAAAGACTAAACATTTAGATGATAAATCTTGTACAGATGGTAAATGAGTAATTGATTTCTAAAAGGCATTCCCATACTTTCATAATTCATAAAAAGTATCCTGGAATAATGCCTAAAACTTCTTTTTTGAGAACTACATGCTCTAAGGTGATTAAATGAGCAATAATTAATATGACATAAAAACCAGCTTATGTTCTTTAAAAAAAGTCTAGCTACCTTATACAAACAGGTGTCAACTACTTCATTGCAAACTTTCTCGAGATCATCAGTGACTTCAAGCCTGGATCTTACAAAATCACAGAGCTCTTCGTTTCCCATAACATCCCAGATACCATCACATGCAAGAATAATGAACTGATCGTCTTCTTCAGATCTCTCAATATCATGGACTTCAGGCTCTGGTGAGACAAGCTGCTCTGTAGGACCTTTTCCATGGACACACTTGTAATCAAAATCCCCAAGGGCCCTGGATACAGCCAGTGAGCCATTCACACGCTGAATCATTACAGAGCCACCTGCATTCTGAATTCGTTCTTTTTCCAGCGGGTTACTTGGTTTGTGATCTTGTGTGAAGAAGTGAACTTTCCTATTCCTACAAAGTAGACCTCTTGAGTCTCCACAGTTAATGAAATAAGTATGTTGGGGAGAAATCAAGACACCCACAGCTGTTGACCCACTTCTGTCTGCACCGTGTTTCTTCTCTGACATAACTCTCATGTGTTCATCAATTTCCAGAAAACCTGTTCTGATTCCATTCTTTACATTTTCCACAGAAGGTGCTCCTGAAGACCCTTTAAAATCCTGGTTATTGGTGATGTGATCTAACAAATGCTCACAGCAGTATTTGGCAACCTGAGAACCAGCATGCCCATCGTACACAGCAAAGAATGACCATGTCTCAAGTCCACTTGGCAAACCAATCACAGCCGTATGCGCATCCTCCATTTCAACTCGCCATCCTTGCATGCTGCTTAGCCCGTATCTCAACCCATTACCCTGCCCCTGGGCATTATGCTTTTCCATCTTTGGCTTGTCTAAAAATGCTCCCATTATGTCTTGATCCTCTAGGTCTGCAAAAAAAAGAAAAACAGGAAAAAAGTCAGTAACTGTCTTAAAAATTTCCAATAATTGTCTTAAAATTTCCAATAATCTTTTTCAGAGTAAAGGAAACACAAAGGAAGTTTTAAATAAGAATTTATATAACTTTTAGTGATAAGGAGACATTGACTATGCTCCTGACTTGGAATCTGGAGATTAACAAGAAAGAACTGGTAGGAAAGCCTGATCAAGCACAGCTTACAATGGGCAACAAGCAGAGAGAACTACGGCACTGGGATGGAGAAATGATCTGGCCCTAAGGTACAACCTCTTAGAGTGAACAGAGACGGGGCAGTGGTCATCAACTTATATTAGCCAAGCAACGCACTGAAGGAACATGAACACATGTAATCAGAACTAAACTCTGTGTGTGTGTGTGCGCGCACGCGTGTATGTATGTATTAATTAAGAAAAACCAAACGAATTATAGGTTGCACAAAAGCCTACTAATTCAAATATCATAGGTAAACACTCAAGAATTTCCAAAATTTGATTCAAAACTATCTAGTTTCATTCCCACTATATCTACCATCTGAAATAACAAAAAATGATATACTCAACAGGGGTCCAAATTTTCGTGTTCCCTCCTTTAAGCCTTTGCCTATGTGAGTCTCCTTAACTGGAACCCCTTGTCTTTCCTCTCTACTTACAGAAAGCAAAACGAAACAACCGATACCCATCCTTTAAACTCCAGTCCAAATTTTACCTCTTCCATGAGAATTTTCAGTGTTTGATTAAAGCTAGTAAGTTTTAAATTACTGTAAGTGGTTGTGCTTTAATTTTCAAGTTGCAAACGATTACACATACAAGTGACAAAGTTTATTATATATAAATAACAAAATTAATCTATTCATCTACTAATCTAATGGTAACAACATGCATCATTATTACACTGTGACCAGTAGGTGTAATTATAAAGAAAGTCAAAAGGTTTAGTGACAACCTTCTGACAAGCCAGAAAACTCAGCTGACCCAATCCTTTTTTAATACTGGAGTTTACTTCCTAGTCTGGAATGGGCCCAAACAAGATAAAAGAGACACTTGGTGATGATGTATGTGTAGGCTGGGCTTTCACTGAGCAAAACCTTGGGAATGTAGCGAACAGGGGTCTAAGTAATCAAGTGAGTCACATTAAAGGCAGAATGGAGGTAAAGAAGACATGGGCAACAAGGAGGTAAGAGCAGGGAAAGTCCTTAGCTCAGCCAGCAAGGCAGTTTTGAAACCAGAAGGACTGAAGATGCTGACAATGCTAAGCTCAGAGAGGAAAGAGAAGGAAAAACCTTTATGAAGGAAACAGAAAGGTTTGTTTTCCCAGCAACTTCTCCCCCTTTCCTTTTCCTCTGAGGGCCAAGATGATACACAGGCAAAGAAGACCGGCTGATTGCTGTAGTAGGCGTTGCTTATTCCTGTCCCCGAGATTCTCCAAATGAAGGTAAGTAATGAAACTAGCCACCACTCATCCGGTATGGTGGTACTTATCACATTACTTTTCTGAGACCACATTCATATACGTGGGTGGAAGAGTATTTTGACTGGAGAAAGGACAATGTAATGATGGAATCACTAGCGGACATTTTTAAGAACTCTAAATCACTCTGGAATTTACAAACATTACCTTATTTCACCTCATCAACAACTTTCTAATGTGAATACTAATAACTCCAATGTATAAATAAAGAACTTTAGCCAACATTAAAGAATTTAGTTCGTATCACTCAGTTAGTAAATTTAAAGGAATATCAGAACTCTATTTCAAATCTGCCTGAGTCTAAAGCACCATTAACCCCTAAGCCAATAGCTCTCAACTCACAGCTATGCCATGGTATTATTTGTGAACTTTCTGAAAAGTAAAGATTTCAACTCAGAATTTCCAGGGCATGATTGGAACCTACACATCTGTGTATTTAAATTTTCACATGTGACTATGGGGCACAGCAAGGTTGCAAAGCACTGGAGTGGTGGGATGAGATAATGTCAAAGGTGTAGAAAATGAGAGAAAAGAGATAAAGGATAAAGGTCAAAGAGAAAAGGAGCTCAGAGCAACATCAATCAAGACCACTATTATAGGCTACAAGATCACCATCTTAGGCTAGAAATGACAAAGAGAAATTTCACAAGAATAAAGTTCCTTCGTTGGAAAAAAGCAGTAAAAAAGATCTGAGTGAAACTCAGAAACAAATATATTTAACAAACCAAGAAGAGAGAGCAGGAATGACAAATACTCCTCCTTTGAGAATTCCTCACAACATGGAGTCTTAAAGAATACAAGTTATGTAGTTAGACCCAGCTGGGTTTACATTCTGGGTCTACTTAACAACACTGCACAGTAGTAACTGTGCAGCTGCTTCTCCGAATCTTACCATCTGTGTTAGACACTGCTACGGTTGCAGGGTTTTTGCCAGATTAATTGAATTCACTTCATAAAGTGTCCAACACAGTGTAAATATAATATACATGTTATTACTACGTAATTCTTATGCTAGTTATTTTCTTCCAGAAGGAGGAGTCAGTCAATAAAAATGTTTCTTCTTGGTTACCAAAATTTGTGACTTTTTTTTTTTTTTTTTTAGTACTGGGTGTTGAACCCAGAGCCTCACACATCCTAGACACTCTACCACTGACCTATACCTCCAGTCCGGCACAACACACTTTAAAACACTTTCCATAAGGACGGCACATTTAAAACAAAATGCCATGTCTTGTGCATGTGGCAAAATCAAGAGTTGGTAACCATGAAGGGAGAGGGATGCTCCCCTATATTGCAAAATACAGAAGTACAAGCAGTGAAGCCGCTGATGTGCATCAGCAACCATCAGCAATCTCATTCCTAATTATGTATCTCAGAGCAACTGTGCACACTGAGGTGATGAAATCAACTTAGTAGGTTTTATGTGGCTGCTGTCTTTAAAGGATGGAATAAAATGCATCCCAGGTAGCAAAAGTAAATGTTAAATGTGGTGCCTTTCAGAAACTGCCCCAGCTGGGCAGACTGACGCTGCCTCTAATCCCACTTGGCACTTGGGAGGCAGAAGCAGGAAAACTGCAAGTTTGAGGCCAACCAAACCAAAATAAAAATCTTTCCCATCTGCCCAAGGTGATGTATGTAATGATCTTTCTGTAGAACTGTAGTAACAAACATTAGAAACAATCTAACTGTGCATTAGAAATTAGAATAGACAATTAGAGATAATGATAATAACAGATAATGATAAATAATGGAATATAAGAGGTAACAGATAAATAATGGAATACTCTACCAAAACAGACCTAACTATATCAACACAGACATTTCTCAAGAACAACACCAGGCAATATGCTGAATGTACAGCAAAAGCAATTAGGGTTAAAATGCATAAAAACAAGGTCAGGCAGGACACACCACATGTGGAATAGCCACAAGCTGCACGAGGGCAAGGATTCTTATTTAATTTACTGGTATGTCCTCCACACTTAGAACAGAGCCTAACACACAGGAGGAAGCTCAGTAATGACCAGTTTCTCTCTGGGAAGAAGGAGAACAGAGCAGCTCAGGAAAGGGTCCGAAAGGAGGACTTGACTTTCCCTGTAACTAATGGTTTCTGGACTTTGACGCAGTAACATGAACTTTAGGAACCTGCTTTACCTCGTAGATTTTCTGGGCTTCATCTAACTCAACTCCTTCAAAAGCTACTTTTACTAAAAAGTCAAAAGTAAATCAAGCCAAAGAACAAAAGTAAAGGAAACAAAAAATTGTTTGAAAGCACGTAAGATTCTCTTACAATGTATTTACCTCTAGATGAGACACCTTGGATTTATCATTCCTTCTGTAGCTCACCACCTTACTTCTGAGCAAGCACAGATAAAGTGCTTACAGGCGCAGTAATCACCACCTAACATTTAGGGGGCGGTTACTACTGGCCAGGCACTTTCCAAGTTTTACATGTGGCACTCACTATTTAACCTTCACAGGAATCTTAGAAGACAGTTGCTACTGTATTAGGATTCTTTTTCTCTAAATGCAGGAACTGAGCTGCAGGGGGCTAAACTCTCTGCTGAAGGACAACAGCAACTTCCTTCACTTGTGTAAAAATTCCCTTAGGTAGGATGAAGGGGGTACTATGCTTAAGACACTTGATACCTACTACTCTAGTGTCCCTCAACGTCTCCTTCTGTACAATGGGCTGTATTAATGCCTACCTCTGAATGTTGGTGTAAAGTATAAATGAGGTAATGACTGGAAAGTAGCCACACAGAACCCTGCAAAAATGAGGCACTCAGTAAATGGAAACTGATCCACTGTTATTACATTCCTACATATACAGCCATATCCAGATTCTGACGTCACTTAATAGGTACCTTAGCCTCCGTTTTATAAACAACCCAGAAATTATTTTCCAGATATGCATATGAAAGTACGAATTCTTTGAAGATAAAAAAGTACAGCACCAAATTCTTTGAAGACAAAAAAAGGCAATTAAGAAATGTATCTCCTTGGGTTCTGAGTACTTTGTAGGGTGCTAGTGAAACAGCCAACTATAAACTACATAAACACAGCAGCTGGTTATGTAACTGTAATACCAGAAAGTTATTTACTTATTTTGAATACTATGTTTACATGGTCCTCCTGCATAAGTGGACTACTAGTAAGTATTTTACTTAGTCAAATTATTAAATTGGCCCATACCTATAAATACTCAGCTCCAAGGGGATTCAATTTGCCCATCAAAGTTTGTTAGCCTCAGGTGTCAGGCACTAGGCAAGCACTTACCACAGTTACCTCCCTGTCCCTGCCCTAGCCTTAGTATGTGCTGGGTTTCATCATAATACAGTACAAGTATTACCCGCTAAGTTGAACACTTACAACAAAGTACTACGATAGTAAGACTGAACTCATCTTAGATATACTCAGAAAATGTACTGAACATTTTGTGTTATTTATTTATTGGTTATTTTGGAGACAGGGTCTTCTTATGTAGTTCAGGCTGGCCTTGAACTCACTGGCCATACTGGCCTCTAATTTGTGGCAATCCTCCTGCCTCAGCCTCCCAAACAATGGGATTACAGGGGTGCCACCATTGCCTTATTTTGTGTCTTTTAAGACCAAACTAAAACCTCACTTAAAAATTCTAAGACTGGGCCAGGAAGTCACTCATTCAGGTTCAGCTGCTGCCTTTTTTTGCCCCACAGAAAAACATCTTTAACTGGTATGCTTCCATTGCCTTTTTTAAAGCAGAGCTGATCTAACAATTGTAGCTGTCTTAAATATGGTCATTTGGTTTAATTTACTCTAAATTTTAAAAAACTCAAAATTTAACTCTACAAGACACTTTTCTGTTTACCTGCGGTCATATAATCTAATGAAGAACTTCTCTAGGATCCATAAGCAGAAGAAAGTACAGATACATGTGAGCAATACGGAGAAAATTACATTCTCTTAGTAACTGACAGCAGAATTATTCTTATGATAAGCCTTCCTTTTCCTGAGAAACCCTTCGAGAGATATTTAACTAAGGTAGAGGATGGGAAGGTTCAAACAATACACCTCAATAATAAAAGATCACTGCCAACCAGGCAGCCCTACCAAGGTAGATGCTAGTAAGCAGAGGACTGTTAACAGCACCAAGATAGGTTTAATTATAAAATGTGGAGGAAGGAGACCTGCAAAAGATAAGAACCTAGGCATGAAGGTAAAGCCAGAGGGAAAACATACACAAAGCAAGACAGACTAGAAGCACTGGTTAACAGTACAGGCAAGAATGTGGAAGAAGTTGCTTGTAGTGGGATATGGAATGTAAACTGACTGGTACATCCAAATCTTCATATTTGACACTGTTCACGCATGCTTACATATGAGTGGATTTTGTTCGGCACAGTGAGGACAGTCAGCTGACTTCCAGAATGTACATTAAGCAAACTATGAGATTCGGCGTAGAAACACATACTGCTTGCAGGCATATCTTTGCAAAGGAGAATTTAGGCTTCCAAAGCACTTTTAACTTTCCAGGTCATGTGACAGAGAAATAAATTAACTATTATAATAGAAGACAGCCATCTTAAGGTTATCTTATGGTAATGAGAAAAAAGCACATAAAACTATAGCAAGTTTTTTTTACAAAGGGTGGTCCTTGGATATTTTCTTTCCTGCTATTTGGAATATTTCTCACTGATGGTTGCTTTAAAAATGATTATACATAATTATATTTATAATTTTGATTTTGGTAAATTGTGTAATCAAAGCCAAAATGTAGAAATGATCTATCTAAGCCTGTTTTACAAATGAGAAAGTGCAGAGAAATAGAATAATTTGCCCAAAGTTACCAAGCTGGTTCAGTTGAAAGTAAAACCCAAATTTCTGAATTTGCACTCCAGTTTTCCTACATATGCTGTCCTGTATATGTGCAAATGAAGTAACACAAGTCTCAAAATGGGCTTTTAAAGTCAATGTAGAAGGTAAGAAAGACGAAGAAAAAGGCTGAGATTTTCTCCAGGGTTACCTTCCCTGCTTTCAAAGACAAATGGACAGAGGGAGGGGGAAAAAAGTGGGGGCTGCAGGGGAAGAGGGGGAAATGGGGAAGACGGAGAGAAAGGGAACAACTGTAATTTATGGCAAAGCCAATTCACACATTAAATATAAAAAGTAAGGAAACAAAGGGGATAGATAAACTCAGTAAAAAAGATGCTTTTTGCTCCAAAAAGCTTCATTAGCAGAGATTGAATAAATAAAACAATCACAAGCTGTTGATTTTTTAAAAAGGCACTATGAAAATATAGTAGGCTCATGGAAATGAAAAAGAGCCACTGGACCAACAGTTGCAACAGTGACAATGACTAGCAGATTTGATACCATGGCGCGGGGGAGGGGGGGGTGTTTCAATCTCATCCTGTCCTCATGTTCCTCTTCTAATAGAGGACTCTGCACTCTCATTGATGATGTATCTCTCTACTACAGCTTTGCAGTTCACACTTTAACAGCATCTTAGGCACCTTACATGTTTTTTTCAGGAACTCTACACTACTTTCCTCTTCTCTTTCAACTGGAGTGTGTCACCCACTAAAAGTGAGTCTTCAGGTAACTCACACCCCAGGAGCTACCCACCTGCTTCTCTCTTTCCTGTATTATTAAGCTTGGTGAAAGCACTGATGCTCCAAAACGCTGTCTGGTCATTTGACCAAATCAAGTTGCTCCAAGTCACTTAATCCAATGGACATTTTTAGCTGTGACCTAATGGATGGCAGCATTCAACAGAACAACCCCCTTGAAATACTCTTCCCACTGGCTTTTCAAAATGCTATACACTCCTGACTTTCCTCATACTCATAGATTTTCTATCCTGTCTGCTTTCCAAGCTCATTTTTTATATCCCAGGCCATGAAATACTGACACTCCTCAAGGTTTACATTTTCTAGACCTTCTTTTCTACGTTGCCTGAGTACTCTTTCAAATGTCTTTGGCTTTTACCAGTGAATGAAGCCATCACTCACTGTTATGGCTTGTGTCTAGATGTCCCCCAAAGCCTCAGGCAGTGATAGGTGGGGCTTTTCAGAGGTGGCTGGATCTAAATGGAGTGACTGACTCATGGTACAATGCTGGGATTAGGAGTGTGTGATTACTGAATCAGTCCAGTGACTGGTTTGGCACCACCTCAAGCCCTGGAGCCTAGACAGAGTGTAAAAGGTGCAGAAAGATGTTGTTAAGGTTGCTTGTTCCTTTGCTGCCTTCTGCTCCCCATGAGTGTTTTTCCTCTGCAATGCCGGCCTACCATATCACCCTGCCTTGGAGCCAGCCAATTATGGACTAAAACTTCTACAAACTGTGAGCCAAATAAAGCTTTTCCCCTTTAACTCTGGGTGTTGGGTACTTTGCTTCAGCAATGAGAAAAGAAACTAAGACACCCCCCAAGGTGAACAGAAACCAAGAATGTCTTTGACATCTTTCTGCGCTTTATCTCTCATTAGTCCTTTATCAAGTCCCATGGGTTATGCTGTCTAAATATTCTTAGACCCGTCCACCTTTTTCCTGTTGCACTCTGGTCTCCAGGTGACCATCAATTCTCTCTGCAGAATACCAGTTTATTTACTTTGTCCCTTTTCTTGCATTCTGGCATCATTGCACATTGCTTCTGTACTAAAAGATTTTAATGGCTTTCCACCGTCTGGGGGAAAATGAACTGCTTGATGACTCACACGAAGGCCTAAGTAGTCAAGACCCCGTCTCTCTCCCTCAAGCCTCATCTCACTTCATTCTTTCTCTCCTCACCCAGTCTCTACACCAAAAATAAGGACTTTCTTTTAAAAGTACACAATGCTCATCATCCCTCCTGCAAATATATATGCAAATGCTACTTTTACCTAAAAGTCTATTCCCGTCTCTTAGCTAATTTCTATACATTCTTCAGATCTCAAGCAACAGTTCTTCAGGACAGCCTCCTTTCTTTGAATTCCCTAGGTCAATTCGCCAGCACAGAGCACACTGCAGAACATCTGCTGAATAAATGAACTGAACGAACCAGATGCAAACAAATAAAATTCAGAAAAAGGGAAAAATTACACACATAAAAATCTTTCTAATGGAAAGCAGAGGCTATAAAGAAATTTTTAAAAATTCCTCAGCTGAAATATTTTTAAACCTATAAACCTCACTCAATTCATTGCTAAAAACTTGTTTCTAGTTGCTCACAACTATAGAAATTCAAGGAAAAAAGAGAAATATGAAATTCTCTACAGAATTTTCACTAATGAGTACCAAATTGGTATTTGACACCTCAAATGTAAAACTGAATCCTAAAAGACAACAGAAAATAAAGTTCTAAGAGTAATTTCTTGAACCTATAATTACATAATCCCTCAAACTATTATTCATGTGTATATGGGGGTATTTCAAGGTACAGAAGCCATACACTTACATCTTATTTAAAACAAAATAAAAACAAATCAAGCAATTATCTACTCATTATGCTCTAAAACCAGGTCTATTTCTACAAGACTTGATCAGTTTAATCTTTACAGAAAAAGTAACCTCAATTCTTAAAAATAATACATCTAGAAAAACCAAATTATAAAGTAAGAACTTAGAAAAGTGCTATCTAATTTAATAATAGAGAGACCAAAAACCAAACCCCCCAAAAGAAGTGAAACACTAATAAAGCTTTAGGAACACCTAGGCATACATCATTAGTAAATTAAATACTGCCATCTAAAATCATGCTGATAAATTTCCTATTAAAAATTCTTATTTCTTAGCACCATGATGAAGGTTT